GAACACAAGCAGGGGGAGTGGGAGAGGGAGAAGCAGGCTTCCCGCCGAGCGGGGAGCCCGACGCGGGGCTCGATCCCAGGACCCTGGGATCATGACCGGAGCCGAAGGCAGACACCTAATGACTGAGCCACCCAGGAGCCCCTGGTAATTGATATAAAGAGAAAGCTATGGTAAAAGTATCACATTTAGAGAAAGAAGACCTAAGTTTTAATAGCAGTTCTGTCTCATACTACCTTAATTATTTCTAAAATTTTATATGCATGGTTATCCCTCCTCTTTCCATGAAGACATATCACAATTTAAAAAAATGTAAATAGAAGTCACCAAATTCAGGAGCAAGAAAAAGGCAAACATGTGACAACTATTAGGATTAAAATTCGACTCTGACCTCCCTGGCAGAGCAAACAGGGAAAATCCACCTTTAATATATTTATTATTATTGAAATTTCTTTATTTTTAATTGATGGTATATTTGACATTCAACATTATGGAATTTAATTCTCCACATTTACACTATTGCTATCAGCTTACAAAAGCATGTATATATATAATATCTTATTTGATCATCTCAACGACTTTGTTAAGAAGGTAATACTGGTACCTCCATTAAGCCAGGTGAAGAAACCTCAGGCTCAAAATTAAGTTATATGGCCAGAAGAAGTAAAATCAATTTGCTGAGGTCACTGACATGGATAGAACACATGTCTCCTTACTCTTAGTCTAATATTCCTGATTCTACTTCTCATTGCCTTGAGTTCTTAGCCCTAAACTATAAACTAAATTTGTCACATAGAATTTTTTGAGTAACAGAAGTTGTCCTGAATATTTTTACAGCAAATGAAAAAGTGAATTTCACATAGCTCTTTCTTAGAGCAATCGTATTCACCAAACTAAGAGCATAAAACTTAAAAGCAGACAAAGCAAGGCAGTTGTGAACATCATATGTGATAATGAATGTGGAAACCCTATAAACTGTAAAGTACTACACAAAGGCACAGTATCTTCTGATGATGAAAAATCATTAAGGACTTCTGATTTCTATTCAATCTAAAGTATACCATACTTTCCTTATAAATACGTATTTGCAGTTGTCTAAGAACTTTTTCATGGAAGCCAAGTTGTAAAACTTAAAGAATTTTGAAAACTTGCCCTGCATTCCAGAACAAGTCCAAATATTAGAGCAAAACAACCAAATATTTAAGTCTAAAAGTCTGATAGGTTTTTGTATTGTGGTTTAGAAATTATGTGAAATAACTTGATGACACTTAAAAGAATTTATTCTGTCTTTTAAAGTGTATTTTTCTCAAAATTTCTTTTTCTATGCAATGAAAGGAAAAGTATAATAAATTTGTTTTTTCCCCATAAAAAGAGATGAGTCAATAGTCTTTAGAACCCAGTATTTTTTAAATAATAAAGGAGAAAGGAAGTATAATGTGGTTTAGTATTGTTTACAATATTGTTAAAAACCAGGAAATGAAATCATTAAGTCTCTGCAAATCATTTATTTTTTTCAAACCATGCTTTAGAATAGAAATCTCACAAGTGTGGTTGTAACTTTATCACCGTGGTTTGCGGAGAAGCGACCACAGTATGATCCACTCCCCTTCTTTGTTTAAGACCTTTACTCTCCAAACTTCTCCCCATCCCCCATTCCCTACCTCAATCTTTCATATTCCCAGAAATTTCTCCTTTGCTCTTCTGCAAGAGATAGTTCCTCCCTGTCCTGCCCTATTCTATCACATCATTAATGAATATTTATTGAATTAACAAATTAATGGATACAACATGAAATATTTTCTCTTACCCAGTATGGTCTCCTGACAAAAATTCTGAAATAGCAGCAGGAAGCTCTGTTTTAATAATTAAAAGATAAGATGACATAGCTGCAAAAAGGATAAAAATAGTTCCTATTAGAATTCTATATTTTTAGCCATTTAAAGAATAATCTATACAGAAATACAGATGTCCATTAGGGCTTTGACAACATGTGGAAGATTAACTCCTACTGCACTATCCCAAAGGTATATACACACCAGGAATGGAGATAAGTAACTTTGTAGAGAATAACTGGTAGTTCATTAAGTATCCTTTGCTTACATTTCAAGCCCAAGACAAACTACTTAGGTAGAGAAATGGTCTTAATTACAGGCCATTTATAAATGAAATTTTCTTTGAAGTTCTGCACAGATTTGTATATGTTATTAACCCTGTTCAAGGCAACAGAAGTTAGTTTAGCAACAACTGATATAGAAACAGGAGTTTAATAAGTACAGCTAATAATTCTGATTACTTGTTTCTTCTTACTAGAGAGAGACAGCTCCCCAGAAGTCTCCCTCCCTCCCTCTCCTTCTCTGCTTGCCCCCAACACACGTTATGCACATTACAAAATAAAAACAAAATGCATGAGTTATATTTTAAATTGTCCTCTAAAACTGATTAGAAAAGATTCAATGGAAACCATTAAGCATATTAAAGGGACAAAACTTACAACTTTTATTCCATTTTATTAACAGGGCTCATCTGTATTATGCAATCACATCCTGAAGCTAACATTGTTTCTTACATTTTATCTGACAGGATCCAAGAAAGGACTAGCTTTTACAGCATTTTAATAATGATCCTATTTCTGAGGTAGCTATAAAAAAAACACAAATCCTATAAACCTTCCATCATATATTAGGAAATATTTTAATATGGTTACAGAATATAGAACTCATTTATATGTAAATACTTGAGTTTAAGCTTACATGTTTAAGTATATAGAAACCCAGATGACTGGAATCAGAACTTCAGTTTAACAGAGTAATAATCTCTCTTCCCCCCAGAGATTAAGGATATATTAAAGAAGGACCAACAAGAATATATTCAAGAAGAATAAAGAGCGTACGCTGTACACACGTTAATTTTATTACTTATTTATATTTCAGGAAACATTTCACTTTCTCCTTGGACCTACAAAAACTAAGAACACAAATGAATGCCAAGTCTGAATGCCAAAATTGATTAAAAGGCTCAAATGTTTAAGAAAAGTATGTTTTTCTCAAACAACATATGTAAACATAGCTAAATTTTTCCACAATTATTACAGTGCTGTGTGACTACTTAAGAAAAAAAGGAAATATACTAGTTTGTATATAAATTTATATGAAGATAGACAATAACACACAAACAGATACACATAATTTTTTAAGTAAAATGATGTACCCATGGCAAAATAAAATTGAGAACAGTTAATACTTCTCTGCAATGAAAATACATATATACACATTTTCCAGTTTGTGACTACTTATTCTTCCCCAAAAGTACAGTTGCTGAAGTATAGCTTTTTCCCCAACAGAAGTACAGTACTTCTTCAAACTCTTTTTGTTTGGGGACATTACAATTGATTGTATATGAAAAGGTGTTCTGTATTGTTCATACTGTCAAAAGGAAAAAGCTATCAATTTGGCACAGAACAGAAGGAAGGTTTAGATTAACCTCCTCCACTCAAGGATTTGGGGTCTTTGTTTATAATACTTTATCTATCCCAAAGAATCATACACATATGGTATAATGAAAATCATGAGCCGAATTTTCTGAAACTGGCCTAGAGCTGTTTAAATGTATCTTGCAAGGAAAAAAAGGAGGCAAAAGTACCTTGAACACAAGGAATGCAGACTTCCTATACAATGTAATTTATTATCTGCCCATCAGTCTTTCTCGCTTGGATTAATCCAACACCACATGCATTTCTAAAGTTTCAGACATTCATCTCTTTCAGTAATTTTCTATTATTTCTTTTAGATCTTTAGTTGTAAAAGCTTCAATGAATATGATATCGTATTTCTTTCTAATATACAATCTGTCATTCTTCCCAGAATTTCTATTAGCCCCTGGCTAATCATTTGATCACTTTTATCCTCTGTTGTAGCCTTAACTCTTTGGTTTTCAAATGGGAGTCCTATTTCATTAGATTCCAGTCTGAAGAATCATGTATATTTCAAGAAACATGAACTCACCAAACATATGTTTCTCTCTCAAAAAGAGATCTCAGCATACACAATATAATAAAACATGCAAAATACTGCTTCTCTCTTAGGGAATGGTGGTGTTTGTTTTAAGAGCTACAAAACCACACAGCTCCCGATGAGGAAAAGCCCCACTGATTAAGTAAGTAAAACAAAGAAAGACACTATCCTTTTCACTGTCTTAATTATTTTTTCTTAACCACAAGTAAACTTCCATGCAAGGACTAGCACCTTAAAATATTATATATAATACAGAGAAGAAACAAAAGAGATTACCAAATATACAGTAACTTAGGAAATACATCTTAGATTTACATAAAAAGGACAGTTAGCTCAGTAAAATAAAATAGAAAAGTTTTAAAGATATAATATCAATAGTAAGGCTCATATATCCATGGTTTTTAACCAAAAGGTTCACTAGATCAAACAGCTGCCTGCCACACCTCTTGTCTCATGTCTTCTATTAATGGCATAAGGAAGTGTTTAAAGACTTATCTTAGAGACAGGTCATAAGCAAGAATTTGTAAATGATTTTTTGCTGACAACAATACATACCATAGACTCCTAATACAAGACACACCATGTTGTACTCTAAATTAATAGCTGTAACAGGGTCATCCATTTTAGCCATGGTTATGGTTAAGTGATTCTGGCCCCTACACTAGCAAGCCAGAATTGGTGCTAGAAGACATACCTTGAAGACAGGTATTCAAGCCATTGCAAATCATTTAGTTTTACCACATTAACTAAATAAGTATTCTTTTTGCCTTCACTTTAAACATAACGAATAGAACTCATTTAATGGAAACTGCCCTGGGAAGGAGATAAATAAAATCTGTCAATCTAATCAAAACACAGAAATTGAAAGTATTCTTTGAAAACCATGTGGAAAAGCAACTGTTATACTAAGAAATGACTAAAATAGGGTAAAATTTGATTAGGCAATAGCTAGTAGTAAGGTATTAATATTGGTTGATCTAATCATAGAAGAGAAACACATGAGCTGGGAACATGGAGGTTGAAGGGAGAGATGTCAGAAACAACAGAAAAGGGGAAAGGGCCCTCTGAGAAAAGAACCACAAGAACAGTGAACATTTTGGAGTTTTGGATGCCTATTCCATGCTTCACAGTATTCTAAGTGATTTGCAAGCTATTTTCCCAATTAACCTTTACCACAAAACTGTGAGGTAGATATTTATTTCACAGATTTAGAAATGGAGGCATGAAGAAGTAACTTGCCCAAGGTAGTGATGGTAGAAACAGTCAGTCTGGCTTGAGAAATTTGCCCTATTAACTCCTAGGGAAAAGTGCAGGAGCAAAGTGAAGAAGAAATCACCACAGCAAAGAAAAATAAGGGAAGTCTGTCAAGACCACTCCCTAGAATTATTTTTTTCTTTTTTCATCGGCATTTAAATAACAAATTGCTTACAAATGCTGAATTCAATAGTTAAGGTCAAAGAAATTAATGAGAAGTCTTAAAAACACTATGTTCATTTCACTTTGACATGTATTTTCAATGTAATTTATTTCAGCTTTGTAGCTGGTTTGGTGAAGTTATTAGTCCAAGATTCCTCAGATAAGCTAAGGAGTTTCCTGAGGGCCTCTATTGCATCTACCACTATGATTCTAATGCATCTGCAACTATTATTGTAATTCAGAGGAAAGAGCTTCCTATTCTCACATATTTGAGATATTAACACCAAAATGAAATGTAAAAAAAATTAAAACAAAACATAAAACCAATCCCTCTTCCCAAAAACCCTGCACTCTTATGGACCATTTTTCCCAGGACTCCTTAAAAAAATATAAAGTCTCATTTGGAGTCTGGGCCTAAGAAATCATTAGTTTGCAAAAATAATTATCCTTTTTGTTAAACTCTTAAAATACACGTATGAAGATAAGATTACATACAGCTATTTTAAAAACAGAATTAGGTTTTCAGCACTTGGAAGAAGTTCAGCAACTTCTTAAAGGATTAGTCAGCCAGCCCTAAACAGATGTACTATGGGAAGAAATAATAAGTTTGCCTTTCTGTCTGAGAGATTCAATTTTACTTCAAACATGTTTTTAGTCATGGATAGCAACAGGTTTATTCTATTCAACACATCTGATTAACCTGGTGTTCCTCCTAAATGTTCAAATGCCAGTGAAAGTCTATCCCCACTCAAAATAGTACACAACACAATCTCTTTGTCTAAAACCCCCCAAAATGTCATTTCCTTAATTTGCTCATAAATGGAAATCAAAATATATAGAGGAAAATTTTCCCCATAACCCTAGGAAAATACTTATCTTTGTTTTATCATTTATAAGATCTTAAATTTGAACACAATGGGAGCAGAATATCTACAATTCTGAAATCCTATAATAAATTTCAATAAATCACAGGAATAAACGGTACAGCATAATGAATACAGTGGAAGATACTGTAATAGCAATGTAACAGGACAGATGGCAGCTATGCTTGAGGTGAACAGAGCATAATGTATAAACATGTCAAATCACTAAGTTGTACACTGGAAACTAATGTAACATTGTGTGTCAACTATACTCAATAAATAATTTAAAAAGTTATTACTAAGAAATATATTACTTCAAAATCTTTTTTTAAATTTTTTAAAAGATTTTATTTATTTGACACAGAGAGAGAGAGAGCACAAGCAGGGGGAGCGGCAGGCAGAGGGAGAGGGAGAGGGAGAAGCAGGCTCCCCACTGAGCAGGGAGCCCGATGTGGGGCTCTACCTGAGGACTCTGGGATCATGACCTGAGCTGAAGGCAGACCTTGAACTGAGCCATCCAAGCGCCCCTCAAAACCTTTTTAAAGCGATGTGTTGCCAGTAAATTTATCAAAGGAAGTACTTGTGGGGAAAAAAAAAATCTCCTTCCAAATTTCCTATATCTTTCCTATTCTAAAGCCGTGCTTTCTAGAATTTCTGGACAGTACTGTTCAGGCTCAAAGAAGCTATAGTATGTCTACAGATGAGCTGACCAGCAGATGGCGTTGTAACAGCATGCCCAATCCCAGTCTCCCAGGGAACAGCGCAAACTATAAAACATCTAAAATGACTTCATTATCCTATTTTAAAAAAAGGGCAGAAAATAAAACTAAATAGTTCCTAATTTATCTATACTAAATCATGAATTTTAAAAATACTGAGAATTTGAAATTTTTATAGTTCTGAACTGAAAATGATCTTATTTATACCTTTCTGATTATGGGATTTAGAAATTGTGCTGCTTGAGTACAAGAAAGGGCTGCAGAGCAGAGTTTCTCTTAAGTTTTCCAAACTGAGGTGTTAATCAAGACTGCTGGAGTAAGGTTCATAAGATCTGTGCCAGACTGGAAAATCTGGATCATTCTAGCAATTTCAGGAAGTTCCAGTAAGACTACTAATGTTTAGGGCTCTACTTTCACAATATGTATCAGTGACTCGATCTTTAAACTCCTTTAAGGAACTGGGGCTTTAAAGAACTAACATGCTATCGATAGTGGTCCTTCATATTTTATAAAGAGCAAAGTAAGGATTTAACTTACTCCTCAGAGCCACCCACCTTTCCACACTCAATTAACTTCACTTTATCGTGTACTTCTACTTCACAGGACTTTCTCTGGTCTGATTAAAAATGATCTGGGGTTTACGGTTTGGTTTCTAGGAATATTTTAGCCTACTAAGTGGTCTATCTCAAGAGTTCAGATGAATGTGAAACTAACTACTTACTTTGGTTTTTAGGAAAAGAATCTCATAATGCAACACAGCTAGAGGAACCACGTGGAAGCTACGTACACTTACTTGCTACTAGGGCACTTACTCCTTTTGCTAGTAGCCTACCAAATTCAAACGCTAAGCCAGAGTTGTCTTGCCTGTAACAGCATTAAATATTAAAATTTCCAGATGTCTCTTTTCTGACTTTGTGTTCCAGCAGCAATGACTCTCAGCAAATGCCACTCCAGCGACCGAGGAAATGGGCAGCCGAGGGCTATCACTAGGACTTATTTCAGTCCCCTAATTCATGATTGTGGGGAAGAGATCAGGAATTGCTTGGAAGTAGTAACATACTTGCTAGAGGGCTCTCCAAATTCCAAAGACAAAGGTTTCCATAAGCTTAGGACAAGAGTGCTAAATTTAGCGAGTCACATTTTTTTCTATCATAAAGTTTAGAGACTATTCAAAGACACTATATTTTTCCAATCAATTTGTTAGACTACATCAATGCCCTGTGACTAATACTTGGTGCCTCATTGGTGCTGGGGGAAAAAAAGGTTTCCCGTAAGTTCTGACAGTAAATTCTTCCTAAAGAAACTATATACTCACTAATATATTCCATGATCTCCTCTTCCCAGCTGATCAATCCCCTTCCTCCTAAAGAAGCACCGAGCCAGGTTGCTGGCTTTTCCTTCTCTCTCTCTCCTTCTCTTATTCCTTCCTTTCTTCCTATAACAAGTATTACTTACTAAATGCCTACTATGTACTAGGTACTAAGAACATAAATGAATGAGCAAATTACTTAATTTATGTAATAAGGAGATATAGGGAATAACTGGGTCTTCACTGAAACATCCATGTAACAAATACTGATCAAGAGCAATTCATAATCATTTTGAAAGGTCTCTCTGTTCCATTTTTCTCATAGATTCATCAGGGGCATAGAATCTTAAAACTGAAAATGTTTAAATGTTACAAAGAACAGAAGAGTTAGGAAGCATTAATCTAAGACATGATTATTTAACCTGAAAACAGATTTCAAAATATTTATATTCTATTTTACATAAGATCGAACTCTCTTACTTTCAGCCTTTTAAAATTATGTAATTCCAATCTACAAATCATTCTATGAGTTTTCAAGTCTTTCTATCATTTGTATAGTATATAAAATTATCTCTTTGAGGCAAAATCTTAGACTTTTAAGTAGAAATTTTAAAATTCAACAAATATTATTTACTGAGTTCCTCTGCCAGAACTTAGGTCAAGTTAGGAAAACGAATAAAAACACATAGTTCCTATCCCCAGTGAGTTTAAAAAATCCACAATATTTATTCTTTTCACAGGTTTTCACACACTGTATCACAGCAGAAGGATAAAGGCTTTAGAAGTAAACAGCGAAATTGAGTCCCAGCTTTATTAAGGGGTAAAGGTAAGTAAGTTATTTATCCCCTCTATGCACTGACTTCTTCCTCTGTAAGATGAGGATAGCATCATCTCCGTTGAAGAGTTTTAAGTACAGGGGCGCCTGGGTGGCTCAGTTGGTTAAGCATCCAACTTGATTTCAGCTCAGGTCATGATCTCAGGGTTGTGAGATGGAGTCCTTTGGCAGGCTCCGTGCTGCCTGGAGCCTGCTTAAAATTCTCTCTCTCCCTTTGCCCATCCCTGCTTGCTCGCTCTCTCTCTCAAAAAAAAAAAAAAAAAAAGTTGTAAGTACAATTAAAGTGTCTAGTAGAATGTTTGACCTAGATAGGATCTATTATATCCATTTTTCAGTTCTAACCAATCAGGGCAAAAACTCAGACCATTTATACTAATAATAATCATCCTATCTTTCAGAAAATGGTATCAGAACCAGATTACATGCAGATGGGCATGTAAGAAGTATAAAAATTTAATGTGATGTTATACACTTCATATCATCTTATAAATATCCAACATGTTTCTAATTAAGAAAAAAGGCAAAATCCATTTTGAAGAAATAACATTATATAAGTCATATGCACAACATAATCAAGAGCCTCCCAAATCAGTATGCTGCTACTTCGCAAGCATACATGGCCTAGTAAGT